TCAGTAGCTACGTTCCGGAGACCACTTATTGCGTTCTCCAGTATTTCGTCCATGACAAAATTGGACAGGAATGGTGAAAGGGGGCACCCTTGGCGAACACCGCTGCTAGTTACGAACGAACTAATCAGCTCACCGTAGACTCTTACGCTACCAGAAGTATGCGAGTAGACTAAACTCAGTATGTTCACGTACTTCTGCGGCATTGAACAGGGTTTTGCGCGCTAAGGCAACTTGTTGACCGATCTGGTAGTATGCGGACATTAAATGCGGCCAAGTGAAACGGAGATTTTGGTTTCAAAAATCTGATCACCCGTGAGTGGTTGATTTCATTAGTTGAACGCTGAGTGATATCTTATCGGTGGCGCAAACCGGGTGCATCTCCTAAGGTTTGGGAGTGAGAAGAGGAAGTGGACAGTTGAGAAAGATGGTTTTCCGAATGGGTGCCGAAGATTTTTGGGCACGGCATACTTCGCGGTAGCCCACGTCGACGAATTTGTTTTTCTTTGGGAACCCTAACCTGAGCGTTTGACTCAAAAGTCTGATTCTGGTTTGAGTTCTGCAGTATTTGATACGTCAAAGTCAAGTCTCCCCGAATTCGGCAGTACTGAGCAGAATATAGTCCCAATAATCGTGATCTCTCCTCATAGTTGAGGCAATGCAATCCCTTGATCATCTTGGTGGCCATCCTTTGTGGGCGCTCAAGCATCTTGCGATCACGTTGCGAACATGGAATCCAAGCTTGGATGGCGTACTCTGTATACGGTCGAAATGTACACTGATAGCAAACGTGGAAACTGCTGATTCAAACCGATCAAAGACTCGCCTACATTCCTCACATCAGCGGACGAAGCCTTAGCGCAGTTGATCGAGCAGCCTAAATCCTGTTGAACAACAATACCTGAGTCCTTTTTCACTTGATGTAGCTGCTGATTTCCGAGGAAATACGAGAATCTTCTCTTGTGGTGTAGGGATAGGACTTTACATTTAGAAACATTGAATTCAATGTCGTTCTCCTTAGACCACTTGTAAGTTGCGTTAAGTGATTCTGGAAGTGTTAGAGAGTCCCCGGGTTCTGTTACAATGTTTCAGATTTTGACGTCGTCTGCAAACAGTATTGTTTTTGGATGTGTTACTTTTGGTAGATAATTGATGAATGCGAGAAACGGACGGGGACCGAGTACGGACCCTTGTGGAACACCACGAGTGGCATTGATAAGTCTGGATATGGAATCAGAAACACAATCAAACAGGAACTTACGATTACCGTAATTGTAGAGCTTTTTAACAAGATTCGGTGATTCAGCCGATCAAATGCCTTCGAGAAGTCGAGATAAATCACATTCACTGCATGCCTTTGTTGACTGTTCTGGTCCATTCATCTCGAACAAGAAGTAGGTTGATGGAGCAGGTTCGCTTTTGCCTGAACCCGTGTTGATCTATCGAAAGAATTTTGTATCGTTCGAGATGTTCCATCAGAGAATCTGCCACAATTGACTCCATGACTTTCGATAACACCGGAAGCAGGGTTACAAGTCGGTAGTTAGCGGGGTCACTACGATGACCACGTTTGTGTATGGGTGGAATAACTCTTTGTTTCCACGATTCTGAGTGTGGCTTGGTCGAACATTCGCTGGAATAGACTGGCTAGCGGTTCGGATATGTGATTCACCAAAAAGATCAGGGATTTCGGGTGAATATTGTCCGCACCTGGGGTTGCTTGTTTCTCAAAGCCATTAGTTTTGCTATGACATTTTCAGCAGTAAATGATACATAGGTCAGTGAATATTGCGAGGTTGCCCAGGCCAATGCAGGTGGAATGCACAACTTTGGCTGGCCAAAGCCTAACCCGCAAGCCAGCGGGGCGGTATGGAAGCTCAGTCCATTGGGAGCCTGTGTCCAGTTCATCGGATCATACGCCCTTCGGACGGGGTCAAACGTCCAAGGTGCCCAATATACCTCAATGCCCAATCGAGCCGGTGGCTACTGCCACAACCCGGAAGGTGTGTGTAGTTCGTGCGCCTCCTCTTGGTTGGTTTGGAATCCGGGTTTTTGGCGTACTGTCCTAGGTGAACTACCGGTGGTCCACCAACTCGGTTATAGCCCCGGATGTCGGCTTTTCGTCCTCTCACCTAGGTGAGTAGGACTTCATTCTCTTTGGGGACCCTAGCCGGAGCCTTCGACTTAAAAGTTTGATCCACAGCTTGAGCAGGCGGTAGCTGTCCAATGAAGTGCGAAGACTTCTCTCACCGTCGAGAGGAAGC